TGAACTATGTTCACTGGGCCTTTTTGTAAATGGCCTAATTGCAGCAATAAAAAAAGTTATTACTGGTGTTGTTTTGCCATCTGCAGTTAATGATAGAATATGTAACTGAATTTGTAATGAGTAAGGATGAGACATATGGACAAACAACTTCTTTATTACAATTAGGAGCGATGTTTTCGGTGTAGGTTCTAACACCGTTATCAAGCAAGTGAAGTACAGAGTATGGTTGACAAGGATATATATGGATTATACAGTTGAGTAGGTTTAAGATCAGTTACACTGTTGTATTTGTAATGAGTTGTGTTTCTGCATGAAGTTAGTCAGTGAATGCAACAATTGTTTCCATGACACTTTTGGAGGAACATACACTCAAGCAATACAGAACTTACCAACAAGAAAGGAAATGTATTCAATACTGTGAGATGACTTTATGTACCAAGTTTGGTGAAGAAACATGGTACGGTTTTCTAGATCTGCTCCGGAAAGGTAGACTACCGCCATTTTCAGTCTAAGTTAAAGTCGTTGCCATGGAAACTCGAAAAATATTTTTTATAAAAATCCCAAACTATCAAAAGACACCAGTTCACCAATAGTTTGGTGAAGAAATATGGTACGGTTTTCAAGATCTGCTCCGGAAACAAGGACTACCGCCGTTTTCAGTCTTAATCAAAGTCGTTGCCATGGAAACTCGAAAAATAAAAAAAATTAAAATCCCAAACTAAAAAAAGGCACCAGTTCACAACTAGACCTATCTATGTGCCAAGTTTGATGAAGAAAAATAGTATGGTTTTGAAAATCTGCTCCGGATACGAGGACTACCGCCATTTTCAGTCTAAATCAAAGTCGTTGCCATGGAAACTTAAAAAAAAAAAAAAAAAAAATTAAATCCCAAACTATCAAAAGGCACCAGTTCACCACTAGACCTATCTATGTGCCAAGTTTGGTGAAGAAAAATAGTACGGTTTTCAAGATCTGCTCCGGAAACGATGACTACCGCCATATTGGATAGTGTTTACAAAATCGCGTTTCAGGTACACCGGTTATGAGACACCTGTAAAATCACGTATATTTCAAACTTAGCTGCGATACATACATCGTTGAATTCCTCATACATTTTAGAATCAAATGACCAATGGTCTTTGTCACCAATACAAAGTGGCTAGATGAAATCAAGCAAAATAAGTTAGGCGTGAAAACGAATGCTGTGCTCAAAAAACTGCACTTGTTCAAAATGTAAACAAAGCAAAATTCAGATTTAACACAGTGAAGCATTTTCTCCTATTTTGAAGTATCCATTCGTCTATTCGTTCAAGATATTGGCTCAACATTTTCAGAATATGCATGGGAAGAATATTGTAGGAAGAATTAGGGAATTTAAAATAAATACATTGCAATGATTTGATATTTCAACAGAAATTGTCAAAGTTACCGTCATGTGTGACGCCATGACTGACGCAAAATCACGCACAACGACAACAGTATTTATCGGAATTTCTTACTATTCCCGTTGGTTTCAATGAAAAATATAACAACAAATAACAGTACATAGATTGTCAGAATGTTTCTGATTACTTACATCTCACATTTATGTATATATGATCCCTGAATCAACGAAAGTCCCCTCGTAAAATCCTGCATACTGTTGACAGTGAACACGCCATTTTGTAAAAGTCGGTCACCGGTAGTGATGTCATACATCAACATTGTTGTACATGTTTGGTCATTCTTTTTTTTAGGTGAAGGTCCTTGAATGAGAGTGCACACGATCATTGTACCATGCTGTTTACAGTTTCAGTTATGATGTAGATTTTGCACATATTTTATACATTTTTTCACACAATTAATTTCACTTTGGATATTTGTCAATGTTCAAAATGATATCATACGTATTTGTAGGCCACAACATGTATGAACGAACCTTTGATAATCTCCTGTTTGTTTGAACATTGTTTACATAAGAATTGATAGGTTTATAGTGTCGAATACGAAATTTCTTTCCTTACAAGTGTTACAAGATACTGCAGTGTACTGTATAGTGTACTGCAGCATGTACATATTTCTTGGAATGTGTAATAGTCAATATTATAAGTTCATATAACCAATGTACATGAATAGCTGTTTCATTTTATTTTACAACTGAGAATGAATATATTACTTTAACAAAATGGATAATACTTTTCATTAAAATATATGCACACATTTCTGAAAGAATTGTCTTGGTCTTGGAATTGTTTTGTAAGTTGTATGATATTCGCCAGGTGCGCATTAGTCACGAACAATTTACGAATTATTCCTCTCGTTTTAATCAATGGGTTCATTCTTTTTTCAATATTGTGATCACAGGATATTAAACTGTTTACTTTATTTCTCCAAGAATTGTAAAAAGTATAAAAATAAAACCCATGCCATATATCCTGTTGGTTCAACCTTATATCATTTTTTAATTTGACGTTTACACGATATACAGCTTTTCCATTGGATGAGAGGTCGGTCACATGACCGCGAAATTGATGTTCATAAGTGTACGAACGACACAATTTGACGTTCATACGTTTTTTACGAGACAGTGTTCTTGAAATGACGTAAACACTGGCGGACTACTTCCACATTCCTGGGGAAACCCCTGGGAATTCCCTAGCACAAAAACATACATAAGCATTATTTCTGATCATTTAGAACCTTTAATCTTGGTCTCAGCATTTCAGTATACATTGAGAAACGTAAGAGCGTGACTGCATGATTGTCCACGAATTTCCTTGCTACGGCCCATCCTAATGAACAAACGAAAAAATGCACATCCAAACTATCGTCAGTATCAACTCAATCTGTGTCTAGGCTGACAGTGACCGTCTCCAGCAATCTACGAATTTACCTGGGTGTCTGTTCGACGCATCTTTATTCACCTTTCAAAACTAGGTCAGTTGATAAATGATGACTAACACATGTAACCGCCACAGGTTCATTAACAACTTCGGAAATCCTCCCGTCACGTTTATCGTGTCGGCCATTTTGACGTCCTGTACTTGATGTAAATGTATTACAACGCTCTGTCATTGTGACTGACTTACTGAGGTAGTTCTTTACAGACCTTTCTCATCTAATGGTGATATTATTTGAACACATGTGTTGCGTAAGATGTTTCTGAAGAGCAAGTTGTGCATCCATACGCTCATGTCACCTCTCTTTTTGGGGAACTATTTTATTCCGCAATATAGCTGGTTGCTGTTTGGCTGTCAGTGTAAACATGAAGTCACACGTACTCAATAAAATTGCATTTAGATCTTGGCCTACATCCTTTGAGGTAAGAAATTGTGATAAAAAATTGTAAGAATTGACTTTCACTTTGTGTGAGTTCATTGGAGTATGAACCTTCATAGAGTGAGGGCCAAACTGTATTAACATCGGAGCTTGCGATGACGTTCATACAGTTTGGCCCTCACTCTATGAAGGTTCATACTCCAATGAACTCACACAAAGTGAAGGTCAATTCTTAAACGATTATCCTGATAATTCTATACCAATAAAGCTTTCTTCTCATCTTGTATTGTGTAATTCTGAGACGTGATGAAGAGAAATAATAACATAATAATGAACAAATATATGTCCAATATTGAATATAATTTTGGTTGTTTTGAAATATTCATTAGGGTATTTAATTACGTTAATTGATGCCAAACAGGTGCGTGTCTTGTCCAATAAAGATACACGATAAACTATCTAATTGTTTACATACTCAAGACATTATTTACTTGGTGAAAGCAGTCATTTTATATTGTGTTGAAAAAGCATCAAATTCTGTTTTACACATCAAGATTTTCCATACCATGAACAAAAATTAGGGGAGATATATTAATCAAAATAGCAGTGTTGTCTTTCTCCGACGTTATCAAAGAGATAAAACCAGCCATGACGTCAAATAGAATGGTGTTATTTTTTTGGTATTTCATTACATTTGATGATATGGCTAGTGCTCCATTAATAATGGTGCAACATTATTCAAATTACACTTACACATTCAGGAGAATTTTGGATTCTAAGGACTAAGTTATAGGTTAGATTGGGCAATCCATTTCTCTTTTACCTCTTTTTTATGAAGTACAATTTCATCATTTCTTATGGGTTTTGTTTATAACTAAACGTATACAGTTTCAATATCGATATTTGTATTGCAATAGTTTGGTTCCTCATGAACAAAACACCACGAAAATATATTGTCCTTACCCATAGCTAATTCTCACCAAGAGACGTGAGTTACAATAAACTAGTCTTAAGCATAGCAGAGAGTAACCTCTCTGTCGCCTTTGACGTAATAGAGAAAAATCAGTATTCATCTCTTACGGCATGCTATTTTTGGCATTGAATGTATGTCGTTATACATACGCATATAACTCCATTTGATATATAGTTATGTCGTTCAGATATTAGGCAGTATTTTGTTCACTCACAATTTCTGTAAAGCTTCTAAATAAAAAAAATTGTCGCACAGTACTTTTATCGGTGTACGATTAAAAGCGGAGAAATTTACTGTTTTTCGGAACTGGAGTATAGAATTTGTTTTATTAGACTATCTGGTTATATAAACGTGTTTATTGTATATCTGGACTTATGCTGTAATATGTCTTATTTATTTTATACCAAATTTCATTCAATATTGTTTGAATTAAAGTCGGCAACATCGTGTGTGAAGTGATTGGTAGATCACACAACTCACATGTTATTTACCGCAACCACGGTCAGATTACTGGTATTTACGCCTTGAAACAAACTTTAGTTGACAAAAAATGGATACATATACAGTATCATCAGTGCCATACTCTGACTCTGAAGTAAAAATTGTCTTAATTTGTCAACATAACAATTTTCGCAATCGAAATACATGTTGCACAGGAAAAAACTACATTGACTGGTCAAAATGTGTAAAAAAACATGCGTAAAAATATGTCATGGGGATGCCTAATTACAGTTGTTTCGATGTTAGTGTCTCGTGCATTGTGCCTCACCTTCTGGAGTCTACAATCAAATCTGTAGATATTGTGAACCAAACGTGTTTCGTTCTGCCGCGCACAAAGTTGTCCATGATGATACCAGCAATCTGCAGAAACAATAACAGACAGTAAATATTAAGTATGTAGCATATTTCTCCCTCAAAATAACACAAGTTATGAGTTTTACAGGAATTTGGCTTTTCCATATAATAAATATTTTGACTGCTATGGCAGTTTGCAATTTCCTTCTTATCTTCAACATCCAAGAACACAGAGTAAAATTAGCAAGCGGATACTTGGAAGTCATCCATTATAACCTTACATCCCTTGAAGTACTCTTCCTTTCATTTTCCATTTCTATTTGTTTGAGTCTGTTTGAGAACAATACCAGTAAAATCCTAGATGGTTTTAATATTTGTATACTTATCTTGCATTACTCCTTAATGCATCTACTGCTTGTTCTTGACAGAGAGAAAGAGCTGTGAGAGGTCTTGCTGAAGAAAAAGTTGTTCCAACTAGCTGAGTGGCTAACCCTATCACACAGCTCCCATGTGACCACAGCAGTGATGATCAGCACATTACTGCTAAAAACACGAACAATGAAGGCATCGCGGGGAGGTAGCTCTGCGGTGGGTGGATCACTTTAGACGTAATAATGCAGGATAAGTATACAAATATAAAAAATATCTAGGATTTTACTAGATTTTTTAACATATCGTGCATTACTCCTTAATGCATCCTTATCCGACGGATCGGTGGAGGGCATACCTTCCGAGGTGATTTTCAAATAAATTCTCCAAAACCCTCAGCCAATTAGTGAAGGCTATGTCTGGCATCGAGTGACCATCCCTGTTTACAGGGAGGGAGAGAGTTAGGTGTGAGTGAAATCCAGGTTTTCAACGCAGTCATAGAAGATAAATGAGATAAATCCAGAGGCCTTGTAAGCCTGACGGATGATGGCTCGAAACCAGTGTGAATGTGTTACGGCCGACTTCAACCTCCGATGTCGTTGATGACAGGTATGAAGAGGCAGCGGCATTGTCCACGACGTTCCTTGGAGTGACGAATAAATTGCATAACTGGTGTGTGTTTTTCTGTTGTGAAATCAACAACCATAGAACTGTATGTGTTTGCCTTGTGACTTGTGAACAGTTAACAGCCCATGCAAAGAACACCAGGATACTGTTTTCTTTCCACTGCAACAAAATTTCTTTTGGCAATGAAAAATATGACTGTAACTGCCCAAATGGGAGTTTCCTCTTCTAGCTTGCCATTCTGAATAAGCATGGTCTGAATGAAATGTACTGGTTCTTGAGATATCGTGCCAACAAGGAATACAAAGTCCAAATCTTGAAATTCTTCCAATGACCCTGAAAATGATGTCAAGGTCACCAATATCGGCTTGCATCTGGGCATCCTCCCACATACACCTTGTGCCAAATATGAATGAAATGTACCAAGTGGTTCTTGAGATTTTATGCCAATACTTTTTTTCGGACGGATGGTTTTGAATACTATGTACCCCGCTTCGAGCTTTTGCACGGCGGGGGACAATAATTGTTTGTCCCAGAAATGTGGGTTTAAGAAAACTAAGTTCATGCAAACAACGCAAAACACCACCACAGTTATAAACAATATTATTGCAAGAATACGTCAATGATGAAGTACCAGGCAACACAAAGAAATCAGAACGCATGCTACGAAAAAGTGTGACCACGGAATATTCAAGATGGCTACTTGAAACAACAAAACGCCTGAGATTACCATGGTGAAAAACACCACCAGGCAATAATTAATCATGATATGATATGGCGTAAATCATATGAAAGATATGAAAACACAAACCGTATGCACAATATAGTTCACAAGAAAAATCACTAGAGTTATCAACACAGAAAGGATTCAATGAAAATCGTGAGAGTCTTCCTTTTATGGGTGACAGCAGTTATGTGCTGATCAGTGACGTCACCCCTTCCGTGGTCACATGGGCGCTGTGTGATAGGGTTGGCCACTCGGCTAGTTAGAACAACTTCTTCTTCAGCAAGACCCCACACAGCTCTTTCTCTTTGTCAAGAACAAGCACATCTTCCCGAGGCAGAGAGTTAACTGACTGTAAAAGTCCAATTTCCACCCTTGCCGAACTAGGCTGGTATTATGGAGTTACATTTTGGCTGGACTAACGAGTCTATGCATAGTCCAATCAAAATCGCGCACCGAAATCGAAATCCGGTTCATAAAATGTCGTGCAAATTTCCGTCGATTGCAGGATTTGCAAAGCATGTGCACTGCCAACTCGTTGTCAGCAGATATTTTCCAAATCTTTCCATGTTATTAATCAAGGTGCTCATGTGATTTGATGCATTGCGTGATGTAAGACCCCTTTTATCACAATATAGATCGTGATTATCGATCAGAGCATCCTGACTGGGCGCCACCATTTTGTGTGAAGCTAACCCAAGTGATACGAGAGGTGGAATCGATTGGTCCATAGGAGAGGCATAGAAGGGACATAACTGGTAATAGCCACTGGTGGCGCTATGATCGAACCAAGTAATTCCAGCCTTGTTCGGCAAGGGTGGAAACTGGACTTTTAAAGTCAGTTAACTCTCTTGCCTCGGGAAGATGGAACAAGCAGTAAGTGCATCAAGGAGTAATGCAGGATAAGTTAAAAATATGTGTATTTTATACGTTTGACTACAACATGGTACATGTGCCAAAGCTAGATTCCAAAAAAACAGATTAAAACAAATGTAGAGGAGTTCAATGCATAATGTTCTTTGTACCTCTAAAATACAGTGAAAGAAAATATACCTGTCCAAGTATTGGGACTTGATGCCCCATTACTGGGAAAGATATGCATTTTTTTGCCCTAATTTTGGAATTGTTATGTTCCTAGAGAAATTGTTAAATTCAATTACCAAACTTTTTCTAAACTGTGAATTGGAATTGCCCAGGCAAACTTTGAGTGATTGAAAGTGTTTAGTTTGTTGTTTAAAGATATTCAGCAATATTTATGTTATCTATACTATAACATGGCAACCAGTAAAGAATTAAGTCTGGACCAGAATCAAACTGCTTGATATTGAACATCCACCACCATCAGGGGGAGAGAACAAGCAATCAACCAAGACACCAAACCTGAACACCTGATCCATTTTGTCACCTCTTTTGACAAGCTCTATGGAGAACATAAACCACAAAGACGTGTTTCTCGAGACTAGGAACAGCTGAGAAAAGATTCCCTGACATTACCTTTCTGCGACAAAAAAAAGAGCAGAGAAAATGCCTTGTTACCTGGCGCCCTTTCCCAACACCTGCTCCATCTCCAATAAAGAATCCTGCTCGTTGTTTGTTGGCCAATATCACAGTATGCCTCTGACACTGAAAATACAGAGTGATTATTGAGGACTGTGACCATTCTCAGCTGCAGATATTGTCATAAACCCATTGCAATATTTTTGCACAGAAAACCTTTTGGTATCATATAAATTTGATCTCAATTTATGCAGAGACAACAAAAGAAACTATGAATTTAATGATTTATTTTGTTTGGCACAAAAAACTGGGGGACAGATGCCTAGCTAAGCTAACAAATATAAGTATGGCATCTGTCCCCCCTACAATTGTAAAAGCATGTAAAACATAGGCAAGAATGATTGTAGAGAAAACATGGACTGGGGCCCAGTAATACTGAGTGATGGATATGGTAAGTAAATGCTGGAATTACAGCGCCACATCCACTGCTGGGTGTCGTTCCCTGATGTGGCGCGACGATGGTGGCAATACAGAGACGTACAACTTACTGGGTGTCGTTCCCTGTACGCCCCGGACGGTTTGCAGATGGGTGTGAAGTAGAGAATGGGCCTCAGTCAAGATGAGGTATAAAAATGAATAGATAAGCTACTTGGGGTTTAAAATACAGAGTATCCCCAAAACTCAGTTGTAGAAAAACAAGTAAGCCCTAAGTGGATGAAAAAATAAGAAAAAAAGAAGAAGTTAAAAGATACACATGGTAAAAAGACATGGAAGGTGAAAAGGCTGTAAAGAAAAACAGTTGTCCTGATGATTGTAGATAGGTGTAAGATGATATGGTCAACAGTTACTCATAGCGACTTGCGCATTCTTGATGCTCTTGTGAGCCACATGAATGTCACGTAAGTAGGCCTGCGACGACCAACGTCCGAGAGTCTGTATCATATGGTCCTCAACTTGAGCTTTGCTTGCCATAGTGGCGGCCCCAATGCGAAACGAGTGAGTGTTGTAGTTGGCACTAGGGACTCCACATAGATTAATAACATGTTTTAATTTCCCTTGAAAGGAATCTCTGGTAAGAGGCCTAAGTTGCTCATCCAAGAAGAAAGCTTGAGAAGAAGCTTGGAAACACTTACTCCTCATGTTGAGGTATTTCACTAGAGCTCTCACTGGACACAAACATTTATTTGCATATAATTGCAACTCCACACCTTCCTTAAAAGGGTCTGTTTTGGAGGCTTTAATCTTGACGTCCGCTCTTGTACACTGAGCATTCACATGCACATCACTAAGGCACAAATTGATAGCTCGATCAAAAGATCCTCGCACTGTAAACTCACTACACCGAAGGAAAGCAAAAAAGGCCAAGGTGCATGCTGCTTCCATCATGCAGTCGACGAATGGTGTAAAGCAGCCTTTACGTAAAACACAGCACATTTGTTTCAGCAGGCCGGTGGTGATAGGTAAGCGAGTGAGTTCAGGCTTCCCTTGGGATTTCTTGATACCTCGTAGCAGCAGTTGTACTCTGTCTGGTTGAATTGCTTGAGACACTTCTTGATAACGCCCTGCACGCACATAAAAGAACTTGACTCCTGCCAAGTACAGTTTGATGGTACTGTATTGCAGCTGTAACTTGGAATGGCAGTGTGTGATAAATAGTAGAATCCTGTTTTCAGTAAGTGGGGGCAGGTTGGTCTTGGTCGCTTCAAAGTCGTTCAAGAGTAGGAAGAGCTTAAAACGTGATAGGCCAGTAGAGTAAGCTTGGAGTGTAGATGGGGCCACCCCTGCGTCCATCAACCTTTGGGCATCTTGACTCAGGTCACAATGAGCTGCTGATAGGAGGGGCATGGAAATGGGTGTTGCTCTGCCAAAGGGACCAGCTCTCGGAACTTCTGGAAACGAAAACGTGATAGGGCGTCAGCTGACTCATTGTGCTTGCCAGGTAGGTGACGTGCCGTTAAACTAAAGTGACAGTTCTCATCAACTTCATGATTTCTAAGTTAGGAGAGCAACCTTTCTTCAATATATGTACAGTACCCAAATTGTCACAGTGAAAACAAATTTGTTTCCTGCCCCAATACTGTCCCCACAAGAACACCTCTACCACTATAGGATACAGTTCTAAGAGGGATAAAGACGTCGTAGTCAAGGATGATAACTCTGTCGGCCAGTGTCCTGAGAACCATTTGTGGCCCCAAATACCCCCGAAGCCGAAAGTAGAAGCTGCGTCTGTGTACAGGTGGAAGTCGTAATCCAGAGTTAGAATAGTATCTCTGAACATGGATATGCCATTCCAAGTAGATAAAAATAGATCCCACATGACTAATTCCATGAGAGTGTGCTTGTCCAAGGTCACCAAGTGGAAGAGATTGTTCACTGTAGTAGACATGGATATGAGAAATGATACAAAAGCGCGGCCCGGAGGTATCACTCGAGCAGCAAAGTTGAGGTGGCCTAACAAAGATAAGAGTTGGCATTTTGTGATAGCCGCCTTGTTGCGGCAAGAATTGATCACTTCTTGAATGCGATGTATTGTTTCCACTGGCAGACGTGCTTGCATATTCAAAGTGTCCAGTTCAATGCCTAGGTATTCCAAACAAGTGCTGGGTCCCACTGTTTTGTGTTGTGATAACGGTATACCCAGGCGTTTAAATATCATGGACATGATAGCCATTGTCCGCTCTGCCGTGTAATGCGGTCTGTCAATGCACAGGAAATCATCTAAAAGGTGAAGCACACATGAGACTTTATAATTCTCGGTAGCAATCCAACACACAGCTTGAGACAAGTAGTCGAAGAGTTTGGGGCTAGAGCGTGAGCCAAATACCAGCCTGGTATAAAAGTAATATTCATCCTGCCACTTAACGCCATGAAGATGCCAGAGAGAAGGACTGATGGGGACTTGTTTGAAGGCATCCCGTATGTCAAATTTGCATAATTGTGTTGCAGTGCCCATCCTCTGAATATGGCCAATAGCGTCATCTACATGAACATAGACCATGAAATAATCTTCCTTCTTGATAAGGTCATTGAGGCTGGGTACTTCAGAATCGTGAGGTGCGGACATATCAACGATCAGTCTGTATTTTTTGGAGTATTTCCCCTGTGCTAACCCCAGTGGATTAATCCTGTACACAGGAAAGGGTGGTTTGCAATAAGGTCCAATGACGTAACCCTTGGCTACTTCGTCCTCAAGTAAATTTGTCACCACATCGACTTGCTGCCTGGCCGAGAGATTATTCCTACACTCCCAAGAGGAAGTAGGTGGACTAGAGATGCCTGTATCGAAGCCATGAGTAAATCCCTGAATGAGTGTTTTGACCAATAATGTATCTGGATGATTATGTAGTTCTTTTTGGAGCTGTTAAACATTGATAGGAGAACGAGTTACACTCTGAAACTGTGGCAGCCGGAGGTTAGAGGGTCATGCCTGTTTATCGGACTTCTCTTGACTGCCCTCACTCTGAGATACAGAAGCTCTTTTCCGACATCTGAAGGCTGGGTGTGTGGCATGGCAATGGAGGCACAAATGAAGAAAATAGCATGCCAAGCGATTGCATCCCTTTTCGTCATTGAAGTTATTACAGATTTCTTTCCCTTTGAACTGGACGCGCTGTCTACCGCGCCAGTCTGTGGATGGATGAGCATTCTTTGGAAACGTTGTCCTACCCTGTCTGGGACAAAAATCTGTGTTGTGAGACAGGCTGCCGCACACACTGCACTGTCTCGCTTTCCTGTTGGCTGCTACTGAGTCGAGAAGGCTTTTGTCCTTGATGCCCCAATAGACTGGTGTGTTGTAAGTTTCGAGGAGGGTAGCTGCTCTTTGAAAGAAGGCTTGATGGTAGTCATAGAACAAAGAACCCTCGTGTTGATTGGCAATGTCGACTATGTCAGCCATATATTTGTGTAGTTCTTCTCTGCAATCAGCCACTTCGCACACAATGTCAATGTATTTTGTGAACGATGAAACAAAGTCTCCAATGGTCAAGGGTTGAGTTAAACGTTGATCTAATGCCCCTTTAAATCGAATTTCTTTCCCTTCTCCATCCATTATGGTGCGAACGTTTGACAACTCATGTTCAGGCAATGTCAATAAGGCGATGTTGACATACTTCCCCTGCTGAATCTTTGTTCTAAGTGCAGATGAGATACATACTACATTGGGTAAATCATGAGAAGCAATTCTGAGTGAATGCCTACCGAAAAGCGTGTTGGGATGTCTGGTCGTCTCTTGCGCTAAGAAGGTGGATGTCTGGTCACTGGATCTGCTTGGGTTTTCCGCAATTTGTCGAGACAGAGATTCGACTGTTCGTTGTAAAGCCTGGATTTGATTTTGGAGAGAAGCAGCATTCTCCGGTGGAGTACAAGGCACTTGAGACTGGGGCGATTGAAGTGACGATCGTTCGGCGGAAGTGATCGTGGGCGCCGCCTTATTGGAAAAGGGTCCAATTTGTCTCTCTGGCGTAGGAAAAGTAATCCCATCTGAAGTTTGACATTCGTCACTCGTGACTGTCGAAGATGGTATCCTACGATTTCCATTGGCCTCCAACAAGCGTACTAGGTCTTTCCTGGTCATGTTTGGTGTCTGGATACCGAGATTTCGTAATTTTGACTTAAGTTGCGCCGTAGTTAAATTGGAGGGAATGTCAGTATACACTGTTTAGCGCCGTCTCGATGAAGATCGGACTGGAGAAGATTGTTCTGCAGCTGCAATAGACCGTGGAGGTTGGTGCAAGTCATCATTTGGTAGATCAGTTGGCACACTTGACCCCCGTCTTGTAGATCGTGACCTCGAGCGTGTTCCCCGTCGATTCATGTTTCCAGTCAAAGTTCAAAGTTCGTCCAATCCCCAAGTGTCAGTTCTTCATAGCTCCGCGAAACCACGGGCAGGTAGTTGAGATGATAACATCGTATTGGCCACGTTAAGGTTCCGATTAGAAAAATTTAATATATAACGTGCGCTGACAAAGTATGAAGCAAAAGTGCAAGCACGGCAGAGACAAATGATAACTGTCGCACATGCGCAGTGTGGGTCACCGGACGTGATGTATATATATGCTATAAATAGATGGGCATGTGCGTACTGTCTCTGCATAAATAACATTTTAACATAGATGATAAACTTACAA